TGGATGATTCTGGTCGTAAAGAAGGGAGCTGGATGATTCTGGTCGTAAAGAAGGAGCTGGATGATTCTGGTCATAAAGAAGGGAGCTGGATGATTCTGGTCGTAAAGAAGGGAGCTGGATGATTCTGGTCGTAAAGAAGGAGCTGGATGATTCTGGTCATAAAGAAGGGAGCTGGATGATTCTGGTCGTACAGAAGGGAGCTGGATGATTCTGGTCGTACAGAAGGGAGCTGGATGATTCTGGACGTAAAGAAGGGAGCTGGATGATTCTGGTCGTACAGAAGGGAGCTGGATGATTCTGGTCGTACAGAAGGGAGCTGGATGATTCTGGACGTAAAGAAGGGAGCTGGATGATTCTGATCGTAAAGAAGGGAGCTGGATATTCTGGTCATAAAGAAGGGGGCTGGATGATTCTGGTCGTAAAGAAGGGAGCTGGATGATTCTGGTCGTAAAGAAGGAGGCTGGATGATTCTGGTCGTAAAGAAGGGGGCTGGATGATTCTGGGCAAAAGGGGGCTGAATGATTCTGGTCAAAAGGGGGCTGGATGATTCTGGTCGTAAAGAAGGAGGCTGGATGATTCTGGTCGTAAAGAAGGGGGCTGGATGATTCTGGTCAAAAGGGGGCCTGATGATTCTGGTCGTAAAGAAGTGAGCTGGATGATTCGGGTCATAATGAAGAGGGCTGGGTGATTCTGGTCGTAAAGAAGGGGGCAGGATGAGTCTGGTCGTAAAGAAGTGAGCTGGATGATTCTGGTCGTAAATAAGAGAGCTGGGTGAGTCTGGTCGTAAATAAGAGAGCTGGGTGAGTCTGGTCGTAAAGAAGGAGCTGGAAGAGTGTGGGAGGAGGAAGAGCGGGTGGAAAAGAGAGCGAGAAAGAAAGAGTTAGAAGAGAGGGCAAAAAAGAGGTAGAAAGAGACACATGGAAAGAAAAAAGTACAAAATGAGCAGTGAAAGAGCAGGAAGGATGTGAAGGGACCATATATACAACACTTGGTGTACCATATATACTACACTTGGTGTACCATATATGCAACACTTGGTGTACCATATATACAACACCTGATGTACCATATATACAACACTTGGTGTACCATATATGCAACACTTGGTGTACCATATATGCAACACTTGGTGTACCATATATACTACACTTGGTGTACCATATATGCAACACTTGGTGTACCATATATGCAACACTTGGTGTACCATATATGCAACACTTGGTGTACCATATATACTACACTTGGTGTACCATATATACAACACTTGGTGTACCATATATGCAACACTTGGTGTACCATATATGCAACACTTGGTGTACCATATATGCAACACTTGGTGTACCATATATGCAACACTTGGTGTACCATATATGCAACACTTGATGTACCATATATGCAACACTTGGTGTACCATATATACTACACTTGGTGTACCATATATACTACACTTGGTGTACCATATATACAACACTTGGTGTACCATATATGCAACACTTGGTGTACCATATATGCAACACTTGGTGTACCATATATGCAACACTTGGTGTACCATATATGCAACACTTGGTGTACCATATATGCAACACTTGGTGTACCATATATGCAACACTTGGTGTACCATATATGCAACACTTGGTGTACCATATATGCAACACTTGGTGTACCATATATGCAACACTTGGTGTACCATATATACAACACTTGGTGTACCATATATACTACACTTGGTGTACCATATATGCAACACTTGGTGTACCATATATGCAACACTTGATGTACCATATATACTACACTTGATGTACCATATATACTACACTTGGTGTACCATATATACTACACTTGGTGTACCATATATGCAACACTTGGTGTACCATATATGCAACACTTGGTGTACCATATATACAACACTTGGTGTACCATATATGCAACACTTGGTGTACCATATATACTACACTTGGTGTACCATATATACAACACTTGGTGTACCATATATGCAACACTTGGTGTACCATATATGCAACACTTGGTGTACCATATATACTACACTTGATGTACCATATATACTACACTTGGTGTACCATATATACAACACTTGGTGTACCATATATGCAACACTTGGTGTACCATATATACTACACTTGGTGTACCATATATACAACACTTGGTGTACCATATATGCAACACTTGGTGTACCATATATGCAACACTTGGTGTACCATATATGCAACACTTGGTGTACCATATATGCAACACTTGGTGTACCATATATGCAACACTTGGTGTACCATATATGCAACACTTGGTGTACCATATATGCAACACTTGGTGTACCATATATGCAACACTTGGTGTACCATATATGCAACACTTGGTGTACCATATATACAACACTTGGTGTACCATATATACTACACTTGGTGTACCATATATGCAACACTTGGTGTACCATATATGCAACACTTGATGTACCATATATACTACACTTGATGTACCATATATACTACACTTGGTGTACCATATATACTACACTTGGTGTACCATATATGCAACACTTGGTGTACCATATATGCAACACTTGGTGTACCATATATACAACACTTGGTGTACCATATATGCAACACTTGGTGTACCATATATACTACACTTGGTGTACCATATATACAACACTTGGTGTACCATATATGCAACACTTGGTGTACCATATATGCAACACTTGGTGTACCATATATACTACACTTGATGTACCATATATACTACACTTGGTGTACCATATATACAACACTTGGTGTACCATATATGCAACACTTGGTGTACCATATATACTACACTTGGTGTACCATATATACAACACTTGGTGTACCATATATGCAACACTTGGTGTACCATATATGCAACACTTGGTGTACCATATATACTACACTTGATGTACCATATATACTACACTTGGTGTACCATATATACAACACTTGGTGTACCATATATACTACACTTGGTGTACCATATATGCAACACTTGGTGTACCATATATGCAACACTTGGTGTACCATATATACAACACTTGGTGTACCATATATGCAACACTTGGTGTACCATATATACTACACTTGGTGTACCATATATACAACACTTGGTGTACCATATATGCAACACTTGGTGTACCATATATGCAACACTTGGTGTACCATATATACTACACTTGATGTACCATATATACTACACTTGGTGTACCATATATACAACACTTGGTGTACCATATATGCAACACTTGGTGTACCATATATACTACACTTGGTGTACCATATATGCAACACTTGGTGTACCATATATGCAACACTTGATGTACCATATATACAACACTTGGTGTACCATATATGCAACACTTGATGTACCATATATGCAACACTTGATGTACCATATATGCAACACTTGGTGTACCATATATACAACACCTGATGTACCATGTACCATATATACAACACATGATGTACCATATATACTACACTTGGTGTACCATATATGCAACACTTGGTGTACCATATATGCAACACATGATGTACCATATATGCAACACTTGATGTACCATATATACAACACATGATGTACCATATATACAACACTTGGTGTACCATATATGCAACACTTGATGTACCATATATGCAACACTTGATGTACCATATATACAACACATGATGTACCATATATGCAACACTTGGTGTACCATATATACAACACATGATGTACCATATATACTACACTTGGTGTACCATATATGCAACACTTGGTGTACCATATATGCAACACTTGATGTACCATATATACAACACATGATGTACCATATATGCAACACTTGATGTACCATATATACAACACATGATGTACCATATATACTACACTTGGTGTACCATATATGCAACACTTGGTGTACCATATATGCAACACTTGATGTACCATATATACTACACTTGATGTACCATATATGCAACACTTGGTGTACCATATATACAACACATGATGTACCATATATGCAACACTTGGTGTACCATATATACTACACTTGATGTACCATATATACAACACTTGGTGTACCATATATACAACACTTGGTGTACCATATATACAACACATGATGTACCATATATACAACACTTGGTGTACCATATATGCAACACTTGGTGTACCATATATGCAACACTTGATGTACCATATATACAACACTTGGTGTACCATATATGCAACACTTGGTGTACCATATATGCAACACTTGGTGTACCATATATGCAACACTTGGTGTACCATATATACAACACTTGGTGTACCATATATACAACACTTGGTGTACCATATATACAACACTTGGTGTACCATATATACAACACTTGGTGTACCATATATGCAACACTTGATGTACCATATATGCAACACTTGGTGTACCATATATGCAACACTTGGTGTACCATATATGCAACACTTGGTGTACCATATATGCAACACTTGGTGTACCATATATACAACACTTGGTGTACCATATATGCAACACTTGGTGTACCATATATGCAACACTTGATGTACCATATATGCAACACTTGATGTACCATATATACAACACTTGGTGTACCATATATGCAACACTTGGTGTACCATATATGCAACACTTGGTGTACCATATATGCAACACTTGATGTACCATATATACAACACTTGGTGTACCATATATGCAACACTTGGTGTACCATATATACAACACTTGGTGTACCATATATTCAACACTTGGTGTACCATATATGCAACACTTGGTGTACCATATATGCAACACTTGGTGTACCATATATTCAACACTTGGTGTACCATATATTCAACACTTGGTGTACCATATATACTACACTTGATGTACCATATATACAACACTTGGTGTACCATATATACAACACATGATGTACCATATATACAACACATGATGTACCACGTACCACATATACTGAGCGCTGTGCACACACTCGCAGGTACAAGACTGAAGGGTTACAGAGCGTACTCTTCTACACTCCCATGTCAGAGAGGGACTACGGTACCCTCCTGTGCTACGCCTCCAACACCGTCGGGGTGCAGAAGACGCCGTGCTCCTTCACCGTTATCTCGGCAGGTACGTCCCCCCCCCCCCGAGGTTGTCCCCAGTGTGTACCATATCATGGTGCACGTGGCACCACCTTGACGTCCTCTGGGATACTGTGCCCACTGGGAATTATGTTCAAGTAACGTTAAACCGACGTAGGATCAACGTTGCTGTAATGTTAAATCAGTGTTGGATTAACGTTGCTGTAATGTTATTTGAATGTTGGATTAACGTTGCTGTAATGTTAAATGAATGTTGGGTTAATGTTGCTGTAATGTTGAATCAATGTTGGATTAACGTTGCTGTAATGTTAAATCGATGATGGATTAACGTTGCTGTAATGTTAAATGAATGTGGGATTAACGTTGCTGTAATGTTAAATCAGTGTTAGATTAACGTTGCTGTAAATCAATGTTGGATTAACGTTACTGTAATGTTAAATCCATGTTGGATAAACGTTGATTCAACGTCGTTTTACCAGATTTGGCCAAGTGGGGGGGAGGGGTTGTGTGACATAGGATGTAGCGCCATCTGTTGGTGCCTTACTGGGCAACACATAGGACTGTGTGCCTAGTTAAAGGTGTTGACCTAGAAGTTGACCTGTTGACCTTAAAGGTGTTGTAAGCCCTCACCCTTGTACTCTGCACGTGCCAGGTTGGGGAGGGAGGTGGTGGCTCTCACGACAGCTGGCACTGTATTCAACTTGTTGACCACCTGTACCGGGTTCGAATGCCTCTACATTTCTTCAACTTCTGGGTTCAGAGATTGAGCTCCTGGCCACGTAGCTAAGTCGTCTTAATTCAGACACTAACCTTGTTACAAAGTTTTCAAGTTTTCCAGATAAGTTTCATGTTTCGGGAGTCCGTGCCGGTGCTGTGTATCCTGGTACTGGCCATAAATACGTTATCTTGAGATGATTTTGGGGTTTTAGTGACCCGCGGCCCGGTCCCCGACCAGGCCTCCACCCCCAGGAAGCAGCCCGTGACAGCTGACTAACACCCAGGTACCTATTTTTGCTGCTAGGTAACAGGGGCAAAGGGTGAAAGAAACTCTGCCCAGTGTTTCTCGCCGGCGCCTGGGATTGAACCCAGGACCACAGGATTAAAAGTCCAGCGTGCTGTCCACTCGGCCGACCGGCTCCCTTGGACGTTGGATAAATGGTCTTTAAAAAGTCCTTATTATGCACGTATTTAAAGATCAAAGTGTGTTCCAACTTTCCATATGCTGGCATTGTGACTGTGGTGGAAATACGCGAATTATATCCTCTCATAAACGAATTTATTTCTCGGTGTTTACGTAGGTGCTTCCCACTTAGGAGACCAGAGGGAGTCTACGCCATTTCCTCCATCTTCGTTACTTTGCACTTGTTGTCGTTGAGCTCTTATAGCCATCTGTAAACCCCCACCTAAAGTTGGTCATGGTCATCTTGTAATTAAATGTGCTTACTCGTTCGGATTATTCACAATAAAACCAACCACGTGGGCCGGTCTCGCGTCATGCAGGTCGGCGTTCAATCCCCGACGGTCCAAATTGTTGGGCACCATTCCTTTCCCCCGTCCCATCCTAAATCCTTATCCTGACCCCTTCCCAGTGCTATATAGTCGTAAAACCAACCACTGGCCGGTCTCGCGTCATGCAGGTCGGCGTTCAATCCCCGACGATCCAAATTGTTGGGCACCATTCCTTCCCCCCGTCCCATCCTAAATCCTTATCCTGACCCCTTCCCAGTGCTATATAGTCGTAAAACCAACCACTGGCCGGTCTCGCGTCGTGCAGGTCGGCGTTCAATCCCCGACGGTCCAAATTGCTGGACACCATTCCTTCCCTCCGTCCCATCCTAAATCCTTATCCTGACCCCTTCCCTTCCCTTCACAAATAATTAAATAACTAAAATGTTTTCAGAACCGAGCCTTAAGGACTCTCAAGTGCCACATCTCACCAGTTGGACGCTATACTTCCTTCACTGTGACCCTCTGTTTCCCCTCCGTCAGGTCCCCTCACCGTGCTCAGTGGTGTGTTCCCCTCAGGTCTCCCACTTGGGTAGTCCGTCCATCATGTGTGTGACCGCCCAACCAACAGAAAATGTTATATATTTTTATATAGTTTTATATATATATATATATATATATATATATATATATATATATATATATATATATATATATATATATATATATATATATATATATATATATATATATATATATATATATATATATATATATATATATATATAGTTTTTATATATTTTTACCGCCAAGATCGTGCCAAAATATTTCTCTCAAACTAGTAAAGTTCTGGAGAAATAAAGTTTGTTTACTGTATCTTGAGGTTATCTTGAGATGATTTCGGGGCTTTAGCGTCCCCGCGGCCCGGTCCTCGACCAGGCCTCCACCCCCAGGAAGCAGCCCGTGACAGCTGACTAACTCCCAGGTACCTATTTACTGCTAGGTAACAGGGGCATTCAGGGTGAAAGAAACTTTGCCCATTTGTTTCTGCCTCGTGCGGGAATCGAACCCGCGCCACAGAATTACGAGTCCTGCGCGCTATCCACCAGGCTACGAGGCCCCTGTAAGAGCGAGACGCTACATAATTCATCTGAATAAAAAAATACTGTCACGTGAATAGCATTCCTTGAAGAGCACCATAACACACACACGATATAAGGCGAAAGTGCAATGAAATCCTTAATTAAAAGATGCTTTTAATATCGTTTTGACTTGCTTAATCACCCTGTCAAGTGGTATATAGTGGTAATGGCTTGGCGCTTTCCTCCTGATAATTCCTTCCTTGCTTAATGACCCCGTCAGGTGCCCCGGAGGAGGTGACGGGGTGTTCAATAGACAACATCACCTCCCACTCCAGCACCGTCCTCTGTACTCCAGGCTTCAACGGTGGCTTACCTCAGCTCTTCCTCCTTCAGGTAGGTGTCTCCCTCACCCCAACTCAACACCTGGTTGATACCTGCTTGATGGGGTTCTGGGAGTTCTTCTACTCCTCAAGCCCGGCCCGAGGCCAGGCTTGACTTGTGAGAGTTTGGTCCACCAGGCTGTTGCTTGGAGCGGCCCGCAGGCCCACAACAACCAATATTACACCAAACATTACCGCCTAACATTCATAGAAATGTTGCATTAAACAAATCCTCAAGGGCGGTGACAAGGATTCGAACCTGCGTCCGAGATCATCCCAGACGCTGCCTTAATCGACTGAGATACGACATGGTCAAAAGAGTTGCAACCAGAAGTTCTACTTCCCCTTACTTGGATCCTGTAGCCTCTCCGAGACACAAACCAGGGTTTTACACGTTATTGTAATTTCTGTGTGTAATGAAGTAAGGGCGAAGAGGGAGAACGGCCTATTGATATAGCTCGAGTGCATGGGGGGAGTTGTGTAAAACCCTGGTTTGTGTCTCGGAGAGGCTGCAGGATCCAAGTAAGGGGAAGTAGAACTTCTGGTTACAACAACTCTTTTAACCATGTCGTAGCTCAGTCGATTAAGGCAGCGTCTGGGATCCTCTCGGACGTAGGTTCGAATCCTCGTCACGGCCCTTGTGGATTTGTTCATTGATACATCACGTTATTGTCATTTATGTGTGAAATGTTGCATTGTTTCAAGCGTAGGTTAGACATGTGTATGAAGGAGTTATAAATAGGAGCTGGCGCATGACCGGCCAGTAGGCCCATCCGTAGTCCCTTAATTCTTATGATTCATATATTAAACACTTCTTATTCATCATTAGCTAAGGAGGACGCGAATACTTCGAAGAGTGAACATGTTGTATTTGTGTAATGTTCGTGTTACGTACGTGTATCAGGCTACACAATACAGTGTATCAGGCTACACAATACAGTGTATCAGGCTACACAATACAGTGTATCAGGCTACACAATACAGTGTATCAGGCTACACAATACAGTGTAGCAGGCTACACAATACAGTGTATCAGGCTACACAATACAGTGTATCAGGCTACACAATACAGTGTATCAGGCTACACAATACAGTGTATCAGGCTACACAATACAGTGTATCAGGCTACACAATACAGTGTATCAGGCTACACAATACAGTGTATCAGGCTACACAATACAGTGTATCAGGCTACACAATACAGTGTATCAGGCTACACAATACAGTGTATCAGGCTACACAATACAGTGTATCAGGCTACACAATACAGTGTATCAGGCTACACAATACAGTGTATCAGGCTACACAATACAGTGTATCAGGCTACACAATACAGTGTATCAGGCTACACAATACAGTGTATCAGGCTACACAATACAGTGTATCAGGCTACACAATACAGTGTATCAGGCTACACAATACAGTGTATCAGGCTACACAATACAGTGTATCAGGCTACACAATACAGTGTATCAGGCTACACAATACAGTGAATCAGGCTACACAATACAGTGTATCAGGCTACACAATACAGTGTATCAGGCTACACAATACAGTGTATCAGGCTACACAATACAGTGTATCAGGCTACACAATACAGTATATCAGGCTACACAATACAGTGTATCAGGCTACACAATACAGTGTATCAGGCTACACAATACAGTGTATCAGGCTACACAATACAGTGTATCAGGCTACACAATACAGTGTATCAGGCTACACAATACAGTATATCAGGCTACACAATACAGTGTATCAGGCTACACAATACAGTATATCAGGCTACACAATATAGTATAGCAGGCTACGCAATACAGTATATCAGGCTACACAATACAGTATCAGGCTACACAATACAGTATATCAGGCTACACAATACAGTGTATCAGGCTACACAATACAGTGTATCAGGCTACACAATACAGTATATCAGGCTACACAATACAGTATATCAGGCTACACAATACAGTATATCAGGCTACACAATACAGTGTATCAGGCTACACAATACAGTATATCAGGGTACACAACACAGTATATCGGGCTACACAATACAGTATATCAGGCTACACAATACAGTGTATCAGGCTACACAATACAGTATATCAGGCTACACAATACAGTGTATCAGGCTACACAATACAGTGTATCAGGCTCCACAATACAGTGTATCAGGCTACACAATACAGTGTATCAGGCTCCACAATACAGTGTATCAGGCTACACAATACAGTATATCAGGCTACACAATACAGTATATCAGGCTACACAATACAGTATATCAGGCTACACAATACAGTATATCAGGCTACACAATACAGTGTATCAGGCTACACAATACAGTATATCAGGCTACACAATACAGTATATCAGGCTACACAATACAGTATATCAGGCTACACAATACAGTATATCAGGCTACACAATACAGTAGTGCAGAAAATATTATACAACTGTATATATTTTATTTTATGTTTGTTGTATTAACTCTGGCTTTGTCTTCCTGTCACCTGTATTAATATTTGTGAAACTTTATGTTCTTTATTTAAATTAAATATGAATATTGTGGTGGTGGTTGTAGTAGTGGTGGAGGTAGTGGTGATACAGGTGGTGGTAGTGGTGATACAGGTGGTGGTAGTGGTGATACAGGTGGTAGTGGTAGTGTTGATACAGGTAGTAGTGGTAGTGGTGATACAGGCAGTAGTGGTAGTGGTGATACAGGTGGAGGTAGTGGTGATACAGGTGGTGGTAGTGGTGATACAGGTGGTAATGGTAGTGGTGATACAGGTGGTAATGGTAGTGGTGATACAGGTGGTAATGGTAGTGGTGATACAGGTAGTGGTAGTGGTGATACAGGTGGAGGTAGTGGTGATACAGGTGGTGGTAGTGGTGATACAGGTGGTAATGGTAGTGGTGATACATATGGTAGTGGTAATAGTGGTAGTGGTGATACAGGTGGTAGTGGTAGTGGTGATACAGGTAGTAGTGGTAGTGGTGATACAGGTAGTAGTGGTAGTGGTGATACAGGTGGTAGTGGTAGTGGTGATACAGGTAGTAGTGGTAGTGGTGATACAGGCAGTAGTGGTAGTGGTGATACAGGTAGTAGTGGTAGTGGTGATACAGGTAGTAGTGGTAGTGGTGATACAGGTGGTAGTGGTAGTGGTGATACAGGTAGTAGTGGTAGTGGTGATACAGGCAGTAGTGGTAGTGGTGATACAGGTAGTAGTGGTAGTGGTGATACAGGTAGTAGTGGTAGTGGTGATACAGGTGGTAGTGGTAGTGGTGATACAGGTGGTAGTGGTAGTGGTGATACAGGTAGTAGTGGTAGTGGTGATACAGATAGAAGTGGTAGTGGTGATACAGGTGGTAGTGGTAGTGGTGATACATGTGGTAGTGGTAGTGGTGATACAGGTGGTAGTGGTAGTGGTGATACAGGCAGTAGTGGTAGTGGTGATACAGGTAGTAGTGGTAGTGGTGATACAGGTGGTGATACAGGTGGTAGTGGTAGTGGTGATACAGGTAGTAGTGGTAGTGGTGATACAGGTGGTAGTGGTAGTGGTGATACAAGCAGTAGTGGTAGTGGTGATACAGGTGGTAGTGGTAGTGGTGATACAGGTAGTAGTGGTAGTGGTGATACAGGTGGTAGTGGTAGTGGTGATACAGGTGGTAGTGGTAGTGGTGATACAGATAGAAGTGGTAGTGGTGATACAGGTGGTAGTGGTAGTGGTGATACAGGTAGTAGTGGTAGTGGTGATACAGGTAGTAGTGGTAGTGGTGATACAGATAGAAGTGGTAGTGGTGATACAGGTGGTAGTGGTAGTGGTGATACATGTGGTAGTGGTAGTGGTGATACAGGTGGTAGTGGTAGTGGTGATACAGGTGGTAGTGGTAGTGGTGATACAGATAGAAGTGGTAGTGGTGATACAGGTGGTAGTGGTAGTGGTGATACAGATAGAAGTGGTAGTGGTGATACAGGTAGTAGTGGTAGTGGTGATACAGGTAGTAGTGGTAGTAGTGATACAGGTGGTAGTGGTAGTGGTGATACAGATAGAAGTGGTAGTGGTGATACAGGTAGTAGTGGTAGTGGTGATACATATAGAAGTGGTAGTGGTGATACAGGTAGTAGTGGTAGTGGTGATACAGGTAGTAGTGGTAGTGGTGATACAGGTAGTAGTGGTAGTGGTGATACAGGTGGTAGTGGTAGTGGTGATACAGGTAGTAGTGGTAGTGGTGATACAGGTAGTAGTGGTAGTGGTGATACAGGTAGTAGTGGTAGTAGTGATACAGGTGGTAGTGGTAGTGGTGATACAGGTAGTAGTGGTAGTGGTGATACAGGTGGTAGTGGTAGTGGTGATACAGGTAGTAGTGGTAGTGGTGATACAGGTAGTAGTGGTAGTGGTGATACAGGTAGTAGTGGTAGTAGTGATACAGGTGGTAGTGGTAGTGGTGATACAGGCAGTAGTGGTAGTGGTGATACAGGTGGTAGTGGTAGTGGTGATACAGGTAGTAGTGGTAGTAGTGATACAGGTGGTAGTGGTAGTGGTGATACAGGTAGTAGTGGTAGTGGTGATACAGGTAGTAGTGGTAGTGGTGATACAGGTAGTAGTGGTAGTAGTGATACAGGTGGTAGTGGTAGTGGTGATACAGGCAGTAGTGGTAGTGGTGATACAGGTGGTAGTGGTAGTGGTGATACAGGTAGTAGTGGTAGTGGTGATACAGGTGGTAGTGGTAGTGGTGATACAGGTAGTAGTGGTAGTGGTGATACAGGCAGTAGTGGTAGTGGTGATACAGGTGGTAGTGGTAGTGGTGATACAGGTGGTAGTGGTAGTGGTGATACAGGCAGTAGTGGTAGTGGTGATACAGGTAGTAGTGGTAGTGGTGATACAGGTAGTAGTGGTAGTGGTGATACAGGTAGTAGTGGTAGTGGTGATACAGGCAGTAGTGGTAGTGGTGATACAGGCAGTAGTGGTAGTGGTGATACAGGTGGTAGTGGTAGTGGTGATAGAGGTA